TTAATATCTACAACGCGTGTTGAAGTGTGGGATAGAGTCAGAGTATCGAAATGACATGTCAAATATTTTGAAATATCGGAACATGATAGCTTGTACCCAATAGAGGTATCTTGTTTACTCGTATTCTTTTTGCCATCTTTACTGAATCTGCTTGTTTTCATGAGTCAGAATCGAAGCATGGTGAAACCAAAGGCTTTTGCTCAAATTGGGCCTAGCCCATCCCCTGTCCAGCCCCTTAACGATAGTCCATATATGGCAGCAGTTCATAAAATATGGGCTTATTTTTTACAAAGATCTTATTTAATAATATATTTATTGGATTGATCTTAGTTTAAATATACAATTAGGCCCAAAAGTATGAGAGAATATATAACGAATATGTGATGGGAAAATTGTATTTATATTTGACTTTATAATATAAATTTTTGTAATTATTAAGAATTATAGCTATGATAATTTTACAAATTATGCTATTAACTAAAATTATAATACAGTGACAAGTTAAGTACTGTGTTTCAATAGAGTGTCAGATATAACTGGTCACTTTTTTTTTAATTCGATTATTGTTGAAGCAACCACGCTTCAAAACATTATAAATGCACAACAAAAGAGTATGACTATCCTGTTAACAAAGATTATTATGTTTATAGTCCGTTTTCCTTAATTTTTTATGAACAATAATCATACTGGATAACATAAAAATCATACTTTTTTTACTGGACTTTTCAATTATTATTATTATTATTATGAGTTTGATGTTTGTCATTTTAAATGACATAAGTTAGGTCATTTTAAGAGGGAGGTAGATATAAGAAATGAAAATCATGGGAGAGAGAAAGTAGGTAATTATTTTTAATTTAAATTTTAAATAAAAAAATTTCTTATGTCTATATCTCTCTTAAAATGACCTAACTTTATGTAATTTAAAATGACAAATACTTTTCTCTATTATTATTATTCGAATAAATTTTAAAAAACGAACGCAACACCGAAATTAGAATACAACTTATACAATACCTATTAAAGATCCTTTTTTTTTTTAGCACAATTTTATTCAACAATATATTGAACACATCATTTTTTCACATCAATAAGAGTTTCTTTTAAAAAGGGACAAATACACATTATTTCCAAATTAGTGGTTAGCCTTCCTCTGGTTTCGGTTAACTAACTACCCATGCTTTCAACTAACTTGTAGAAAGCTTAAGCATGTTTATTTTAAAGCAAGCCAACCTGCATTGATGTGGATATTATACCTAATTGTATCCTCCAACAAATCCCTTTTATAGAATCGTATCAATTATATAATGTTATTTCAAGTAATATATTACTTGAACCGAAATTACTGTGTCACCCTTGTACAATTTGAGAGTTTGTGTAGTACACTTTGACATGGTGAAATGAAAGCCCACCTCAAATTTGCCGTGTTGAATAGGCATCTATTCTACAGTTCCACATTTTCAGATTCAACTGTAATATTTTCACATTCTCATATTCGTAGGTATAATAATTTAATCAATTATTATATGAAAAATCAACAAATACTTGGTGCACTTTCAAATTTCAATGAATAACATAAACAACGAAAAAGAAAACCTGTTTGATACTTGACGGTGCAACATTAACCTGTTTGTCAACGTTGTGACATTTTCTTAGAGAAATTTCTAAATATAAATCAAAGTCAATTTTGCTTCGGTTAACGCAATGGGATCGTATTATTATCTTCTTTATGTCATATAATCAGGAAGGATTTCGTTTTTAGTTATTTGTTTAATTAATTTGTAAAGTTTTATATATATTCTATAAAATGGTACACGTAAAGTGTAGTTTTAATTTAATATTGAATTTTATAAAATATAATTCGTTAGGGTGTATATAGATTTTAATGGTTCGATTGGACAATCCATTTGTCTCGCATTGGAGTGCTTGTACATCCAATATAAAAATTAATAATATTTAAAAAGAAAAATTATACTCTTATGTTACATAAGATTCATCTCTCATGTTACACTCACATAAAAAGATGTGTCTCATTTTTTCTATTTTTAAAAATTGATGAACTCCACTTAATTTATCTCACAACATAAGATAATTTCTCTCCTACAACATGAGAAAAGTAAAGCCAATTTAAAAAAGCTGAAATTATGTAAAGTATTGCTCGTGAATGCAAGAGTAAGAAAAAGATGTTTTTTTAATTTCCAAAAAAGGAAAAAGATGGTTTTGTGGATACCACATTTGATAATGCGCCACATAGCACACTGTTTTGGGTGGAAGACCAGTTACTCTACCATTTCCTTTTTTATTTTTCTTCCTTTTTTTTTTATGCAATTGTTGTTTTCGTTTAGGTTAGTGGAGGTTATGTCTTCATACTACCATTATTATGATGAAGATTAGTGGATAAAAATGTCATCGTTCCAATGGGATTTGTCCCGTGATAAAACAAGCATTGCTTTCCTCTTCATTTTTTCATACTCAACTTTTCGGCGGATCAAATATTGGTTTTTTATTTTTTATATCGACCTTAATTATTTCTTTGAGGTGAATAGATTCTTTCTGTATCAGCAATAAGACTAATTCGGAGTGTAGGATGCGTTTGAAATTAAGATCTTATGCCCTTTCTAAATATGATATTTATGGGGATTAAACTGAGATTTTACCACCAATTGAGGTACCATTATTTGATAACATTAAAGTTTATTAATTCACTCATGATTGTTTACTTTCAATTGTTGGGTGCAATGCTGTTAAAATCGAGATCTTAAGTAAAATCGAAAAGGAGATTAAAAAATCGTAATGTAAAAAAATCATAAAAAATCTTAAAAACGTGAAAGCGTTTGGAATATTAGTAAAATCGTTTTGATGATAAAAAATCGTAAAATCGTAGCGATAAATCGAGATTTTAACAACAATGATTAGGTGGCAGGGGAGCTCATAACAGAAAGAAAGCGCAATTCATGAGTTAAGTGAGACATTAAATGCATATAGACACCATAATCAAACTCAAAATCTAAAAATATTATATGTATGAATCAATTCTATTTATATGATAATTACTTGATCCATTTTTAATCAAATTAATATGAGACTTCACCCACTCACACTTGTATTTCTCAATATCAATAACAGCCACGTGAAGGAAAAAAGTAACAACGGCCTAAAGCATTGACGATAACTGACGCAGACTACTTTTATGCCTACGATAAAAGGATAAAAATTTGTTTGAGTCTTAGTTTTGTGATAGTGAAAATCAACTCCATATAAAATATATTCACTTTAATACCTCTTATTTTTGTTTGAATATATTATATACCAACATGATCCTTTGATATTGGTATCAAAATTTAACATCAAATTTTAACTGTTAATTTTATGGATCTAACGATCATATTTTATTGAATTACACTTATTAATTAATTATTCATTTTGAATAAATTATAATTGTTAAATTGATAGAAATCAACGGTAAGATTTGGTGTCAAACTTACTGATTTGGAAATATCATTATTGTATTTTGTATATTTTTTTCCTGAGCGAAAACATTATTGGAACATTGTATTTAACGAAAATGACATTCTGAATCATTATATAAGTTATAGATGAATTATATCTTTTGAGAATTATATATGTTTTGAATTTGTTTCATAAGTTAATAATGTTTTTCTGTTTTAAATAATTAAGCATTAGTTATTAACGTGAATTGAGGTTTTGTATGACATGAGTGAGGTTAAAATCCATCTTAATTATGTTCTGGGCATGGTCATGGATGCCATTTCAAAGTCGTACCAGTAATATGAAATCTGTGAAAAAGTAATTATCAATGACTTAGGTTTGAACTTTAAATAATTGAAAAAAGCTCCCCTTTCCAAATAATTCAACCATACAAATTACAAAACCATGTTTTAATTCAACCATACAACTTGAACTTCATTATTAATGAACACGTTGGCCACGATGTCATTATCAACAAATCCAAAATGGGATCGAATATATCATATTTTAAAAATTATCAGGAGTGGGTCACGTGGCAGATCTCATGCCATCCTGGTTCATTCGATTTATTTATTCAGATTAGTTTGCTTTAAAGATTTCCCAATGTTTCAATCAGAAATATTCAACTATTATATGTTAATTAAAGATGCCAACATTTGCATCACCCAGTCAACATTAACGTCGTTTACGAAAATTTTCCTTCCAAACACAACTTTTGACCAGCCGGCCAGAAACTTTCAAAGAAGAACTCATAAGCTATGTTCCACCGACACCGACACAGAACACGGGATACGATATGATACGACATTCTGACACGTTAATTTTAAAAAATGTTAAATTTCAACATGTTAGGACACGTTTTGATATTATATAATATTTTTAATTTATGTAGTGTATATTATATTTAATATTCAATAATTCAACAAATAAATAAAGCTAAACTTATAATACCCATCAATTTTGCGAAGAAACATAAGATCCCAAATGTGTATATTAAACTCAATACAATAATAATCGTAATCCAACGAATTTAATAATTGGAACTTAAAATGCAACACAACATAACCTTTGAACCTTTTTCGAGTCTTTGTAACGAGTATTGGAGTGTGAAAAAGTGTCGAAGAGTCAGTAAGTATCAAGAAGTGTCAGACGGACACGACAAGTTAAGAATTTTGAAATGTCGATGCTTCATAACTTATAAGACGCAATTGCGACGGCAAAACACAGAAAACAGAAGCAATGCGTAAGTTGGCGAACCAAACAAGGCCTACGTGGCATGCAGTACAAAAACCCTCTCATAGCAGGAGAAGTACAAGGGGACCCATCAGTACTTGCACCAAAACCCAAAGGGCAAAAATGGAAAAAAATAAAATAAAAATTCCCTCCAACTCCATTCCGTTACCGGTCCCACCTGAAACCTTCCACACAGTTAAAATATTGCTGTCTCTACCGAACTCAAAAAAATTTGCTGTCGCACCATCTCCCTCGGTAACAGCTTTTTCTTCTTCCTTTTTTATTTCCTTCATTTTCACCTTTTTTTTTCTTCTTTTATATAATTCATTTCCTTCTCATTTCTCTCGCCACATTCTCTCTCCTCATGGCGCCGAACACCCGACAGCTCCAACTAACTTCCACCGCCGCCTCCGCCGTCCACGGCGATCTCGAGGACGTCCGCCTCCTGGACTCCTACGAGAAGAACGACGTTGACGACGGAACGAAGCGAGTTCAGGTCAGAATCTCCGGCATGACCTGTGCCGCTTGCTCCAACTCCGTCGAGGCGGCTCTCAAGTCCGTCGACGGCGTCATCGGCGCCTCCGTCGCCCTGCTCCAGAACAAAGCCGACGTCGTTTTTAATCGGAGCCTCGTCAAGGTTAGTTAACTTAGTTTCTTTTCTTTTTTTCTTTTGTGAAAGTGTTAGGAGCTGATTTTGGAAACTCGCGTGTTAATCATAGGATGAAGACATTAAGAATGCGATCGAAGATGCAGGTTTTGAAGCTGAGATTTTACCCGAACCCGGTTCGCTCGGAAACGGTACCACCTTGGTTGTGGGGCAGTTCACGATTGGGGGAATGACGTGTGCGGCGTGTGTGAATTCCGTTGAGGGCATTCTGAGGAACCTTTCAGGAGTGAAAAGGGCGGTGGTGGCTTTGGCTACTTCGTTAGGTGAAGTTGAGTATGATCCCAATGTGATTAGCAAAGATGATATTGTTAGTGCAATCGAAGATGCTGGTTTTGATGCTTCGTTTGTGCAGAGCAGTGGCCAGGATAAGATCGTTTTAGGTGTTGTTGGTGTGTGCGGTTTGGTTGATGCTCAGGTTTTGGAAGGCATGCTCAGCGGCATGAAAGGGGTGAGACAGTTTCGGTTTGACCCGTTATTGAGCGAACTGGATCTTGTGTTTGACCCTCAAGTTATCAGTTCTAGATCGTTGGTTGATGCGATCCAGCTTGGAGGCAATGGCGAGTTTAAAGTGCATGTTAGAAACCCTTATGCCAGAATGGCTTCTAAAGATGTTTCAGAGACCTCAACTATGTTTCGGCTTTTTATTTCCAGCCTTTTTCTTAGTGTGAGTATCTCTTTAATATCAGTTCTCATATAGCGATATTTGTATATGCATTTTTTGGTTTCATTTAGGAGTGTGAAAAAAAAAAAATATAAATCAAACTACTTTACTCGTTTGATTCGGTTCGGCACATAGAAAATCGAACCAAACCAAACCATGTCAACCCTTATGTTTGAATAAAAGCTTATAAGCCGAACCATGAACCAAATCAAAACACACCATAAATAATCACATTTTTCTGATTAGTTGAAAGAACTGAACCATTTTTTTGAACCAATTTAAAAACCAAAAACTTTTTCTAAATCAGTTCGGTTCATAAAACTGAACCACTTTACCGGCGGGTTGGTTGAGTATAGAAAACCGAACTGTACCCACCACCACTTTCATTTTACTTTATTTTGTCACCTGATTGCATGTTAAAATCCTTGTGAGATGATTGAACAAGTACTCATTATATGCAAAAACAGATATTTATTAATTAGGGGTAAATTTGCGTGTAATGCAATGCTTTTCAGAAAGAAAGGGTATCTGTAGAGGATAGATGGGGAGTGGGGGTAAGAAATCATGTAGCTGCTGCAGTATGCTCAAACCTTAAGGTGTTGGTATAGAATGAATCATCCTTTGAGATTCTGCAGTTGTCAAACTCAAATCCCATAAATTTATGCTTCATAGGGCTTGTATTAGTCCATACAGAAATTTCATCTAAGTGAAGTGATAATCTGTTTCTTCTCTTTTCTTCATAGAAACACATAACTGAAGGAAAATGAGACTTGATATTGTTGCAGAAAGGAATGAATTGAGAGCCTGTTTTAACATCTTTATTTTGTTTAGGTTTCGGTTCAATATTTTGCATTGATTTTTGCTTGATGCATTTGTGTCAGATTCCTCTCTTTTTCATGGGGGTTGTTTGTCCTCATATACCATTGATATACTCCTTATTACTTTGGAGATGTGGGCCTTTTCTCATGGGTGATTGGCTGAAGTGGGCATTGGTGAGTCTCATCCAATTTGTGATTGGTAAGCGCTTCTACATAGCAGCTGGCAGAGCTCTTAGAAATGGTTCAACAAACATGGATGTCCTCGTTGCTTTGGGAACTACAGCCTCTTATGTTTATTCTGTTTGTGCTCTTCTTTATGGCGCTCTTACTGGATTTTGGTCTCCAATATACTTTGAAACAAGTGCTATGCTTATAACTTTTGTACTGTTGGGCAAGTATTTGGAATGCCTTGCTAAGGGAAAGACATCTGATGCCATTAAGAAGCTAGTAGAACTTGCTCCTGCAACAGCATTATTGGTTGTCAAAGATAAAGGTGTATGTCACTTTATTTTGATGTGCTCTGTTTTCTTTGGAATATGGAGTTGAAACAGCTTTTGTGTTGATTATCTTATATTTAGGCTGAAAACTCCTTTATTGAAGTTTATTTCAACATCAAATTAGAACTTACCAATAAATGTTTTATTTTCTAGGTGGTAGATCTATTGAAGAAAGGGAAATCGATTCCTTGCTCATTCAACCTGGTGACACATTAAAAGTTCTTCCCGGTACAAAGATTCCTGCTGATGGTATTGTTTCTTGGGGTTCAAGTTATGTAAATGAGAGTATGGTGACCGGTGAATCTATACCTGTTTTGAAGGAGGTCAATGCATCTGTTATTGGAGGTACAATCAATCTGCATGGTGTCCTTCACATTCAAGCTACCAAAATAGGATCTGATACAGTTTTGAGTCAGATAATTAGTTTGGTGGAGACAGCCCAGATGTCAAAAGCTCCCATTCAAAAGTTTGCTGATTATGTAAGTATTATGAGTAAGTATTCTGGTCTCGCTTTTGGTTGACTTTTATGTTCTGTATGTGTTAATTTAAAAGTGTATGCATTTTTGCATAGAATAAAATTGCAGTCGATTCTTTGCGGTAAAGAAAGTATTAGCTCATTAATCAGTTCTGAAGTTAAAAAGTGTTTCATGTTTCTAGATGGCTTGGCAAATGAAAATCACATAATTTCTTCTTCTTCTTTTTTTTTTTTTTGAGTGACGATACAATTCTTGTAATTGTAAAATAGCAAGGAGTCAGCATTTAGTTTTCCTGGGCTGCTTTCTGGCAAATCTGATTAAGCTTGTAGATTTGGGGCAATATATTGATGCCTCACCTCTGTTCACTAAAGCACTTTCTATGAAATCATTCATAAATTGGATTGTTTTTTAATCCAGTTATTCCAGGTTTAGGTTTTATTTGTAATTCAAGCGGCTGTTCTTTTGCTTGCTCATAATTTTCTAATAATAGTCACTATCTTCTTGACTTTATGACCTTGCCTGTTGATCGTTCCTCAGATGAATGATGTTACATTTCAGAAATTATCAGAGATTTAATAGAATGTATTCTGGAAAGAAGAGAAAATTCTAAGGAGAATATGATTGAAATGAATTCTTTATTATGATAAACGTACATAAGAGATATAATCTCCCCGAGGGTGTCCTCTTCACACTGAGATATCTCAGTCACACCAAAGAACTATCCTAATGCCTCTATCCCCCCTAGAGGCTTATTTGATTTATTGACAACATAAAAGACCCTATAACTGCCTAACTGACTCAACCACCCTGAACTTCTCTGACAACATAAACTGCTCTAACCGTTTTTGGGTTTATTTCTACGGGAATAAACCTTCCATCTAGAGTTGATTTCTTCTCTCCTAGTAGAAACCGTATCAACTAAAGAAATATTAGATGTGAACTCAGTTACCATTCTTTTGGCTTGCAGGTGGCAAGCATATTTGTTCCTACAGTTGTGACTTTATCATTATTGACACTATTGTGTTGGTAAGATTACCTTGACTAGTTTTGGCATATTGATTAAAGTTGATTTCAAACGTGTAATTTGAATGCTTATCCCTACTTTTCTCTATATATTTTGGCAAAATTTAGGTATATTGCTGGGGCTCTTGGAGCTTACCCCGAAGAATGGCTGCCAGAAAATGGAAATCACTTTGTTTTTGCTCTTATGTTTTCGATATCTGTTGTGGTGATTGCATGTCCCTGTGCACTTGGTTTGGCAACACCAACTGCTGTCATGGTGGCAACAGGCGTTGGGGCTAATAATGGTGTGTTAATTAAAGGAGGGGATGCCTTGGAGAGGGCTCAGATGGTGAAGTATGTTGTATTTGATAAAACAGGAACTCTAACTCAGGCAAGAGCCACCGTTACTACTGCCAAGGTGTTCACAGGAATGGACCGTGGAGAATTTCTTACATTGGTGGCTTCTGCTGAGGTGACTTCCAATTTCTTGATGATAGTTACTTTCTTTATTTCGTATTGAACTGGACCTAAATTTAAAAGATTTATGGAGAAAACAGAGGTAAATTTTGTGAACACAATGGCTGATATCAAGGATTTCAAAGAACCTGGTCTTTCCCCACACTCATTCTAATCTCACCTTGCCTCCCTCCTGCCCCCTTCTTCTTTTTATTCTGCTGGTGACCTAAGGGTTATACTCTTAAATCTTGAAATCCTAACTGTCTTATGTAATAATATTCCCTAAAAACAAGTTACTCTATCTAAAAATATCAAATTAATATCAGGTAATTCTATCTAGTATATCTGATGGAACCCAATTTACTAAGCTTGTATTAACAGAAACATAAAATGGAGACTAGCGCCTTACAATTACCAAATGACAGAATACCCAAGAACAAAGGCTGGAGACAGCCTTGAAATATGAAAATTACACCACGGAAGATAACCCAGAGGACCTTCAACAGTTCCTCCTTCCCCCTAATTACCACTACTGAATTCTTGCCTCCCCTCTACCCATGCTTCTTTCTTACTTATACCCCATAATGTTATTTCCATTCTGTTATGTCACGAGCCCTCTTTGTTAACTTACTCCCCCCTTTTTTTGTTCTATTGTTCAACTTCCTGTTCTATTAATATCTAACATCAAAATCACCTTTATCCCAAACTAATTTAGGTTGGCGGTCAATGAACCCAAATAAAAAGTAAGAAAAGATTGAGAGAAAAGAAAAATAAATAAGAGAGAAAAATAAAGAAGAGGGAAAAAGTAAATAAGAGAGAAAGATGAATAAATAAATAACTATATCTAACGATATATATTAGTATTAGGTAACTATATCTAATATATCTAAAAATATTAACTTTAATTACTATTTCTATTAGGGCCTAACCAACTAGATTTTGCACCCATCCTTATTTCTTCTAACCTACTTTCCTAACTAGGAAGTTCCTAACATATTCTCAACATCTGCCAATAGTATTTCCACCTATACACGGTTCGAACCTAGACCCGGGTATAGAGGACTTATAAGAGTAATATTTTTCTACATTTCCTTTTCCCTCCTCGACAGTCGACACAGATAGCTCAATTTCCCCAAAAGTGTGTTCTGGCATTCTGAAATAGGATTAGGAACAATATTAGAGAAGATTTATCATTTTTGACAATCTGTTTGTTTGTGAGAAAATTTCATCCATTTCATTTCATGCCTGTTATAGGAATCAACTAATTTTTTTTTAAATTTCCGCCCTTAATTCAGGCTAGTAGTGAACACCCACTGGCAAAAGCAATATTACAATATGCCCGCCATTTTCATTTCTTTGATGAGTCCTCTCCTACCAGTGATGCCCAGAATGATGCTAAGAAGTTTATGTCAGGGTGGCTTTATGATGTCTCAGACTTCTCTGCTCTTCCGGGAAGAGGTGTTCAGTGCTTTATAGATGGAAAGCGTATTTTGGTAATGTCTTTTGACTGTTGTAATATGACCATCATTATCTTGAAAAGCTGGAATTTGTTCCATATTTTCCAAAGAGTTGCTTATCTGAGGCCGTATGTCATGAACAGGTTGGTAATAGGAAGCTGCTGGCAGAAAGTGGCATTAATATTTCTACCGAAGTGGAAAATTTTGTGGTAGAGCTGGAAGAAAGTGCGAAGACAGGGATACTGGTAGCATACGATGATGTATTAACTGGAGTCTTAGGGGTTTCAGACCCACTAAAGCGAGAAGCTTCTGTTGTTATTGAGGGCCTCCAGAAAATGGGAGTTGTACCTATTATGGTTACAGGAGATAACTGGAGAACAGCTCGAGCTGTTGCCAAGGAGGTTTGTATATTTGTGTGATATTTTTTTTGGTTGGAAAGTTTGGTATTGTGATTGTAGTGTGGTTTCAAGGCTGTGCTTCTTAGTTTATGCATTCAACATTTGGACTTTTACTTGCACAAAGAAAACCAATATCTTTTCATGGATTATAGTAGTTTTGTAGTGTGTAGTATGAGAACTAAATTGAACCACGGACAGGAATAATTGTAATCAATAATGAAAGAAAATATATCAATTAACCTATAATCTGACCTTGTTTGAGCAGGCCATTGTTTATTTTATTCATAACTGAAATAGTAGTATCTAAAAGAAATTGTATGATTTTGAATTTGAATTATAAAAATCTCATTCCTCAGCTCTCAATCATAATTGAGTATCTGTCACTTTATGATAGAGTTGTAACATAAATTTTTCGGTAGAAATTGATGTTATTGTCAAACTTGGAATAAAAAACCTGTTGTTTGACAGGTTGGCATTCAAGACGTTAGAGCAGAGGTTATGCCTGCAGGAAAGGCTGAGGTTGTTCGTTCATTCCAAAAGGATGGAAGTATAGTTGCAATGGTGGGTGATGGTATCAATGACTCTCCTGCATTAGCTGCTGCAGATGTTGGCATGGCAATTGGGGCTGGGACAGATATTGCAATAGAAGCTGCTGACTATGTGCTGATGAGAGATAATTTGGAAGATGTGATCACAGCCATCGATCTTTCCCGGAGAACCTTTTCTCGTATTCGATTAAATTATGTATTTGCAATGGCCTACAATATTGTTGCTATACCCGTTGCTGCAGGAGTTTTATATCCTTCACTGGGGATCAAGCTTCCACCATGGGTTGCCGGTGCATGCATGGCTCTGTCTTCTGTGACTGTTGTATGCTCTTCTTTGCTTCTAAGAAGATATAGAAAACCCAGACTTACTACAATACTTGAAATAATTGTAAATTAAGGAGAAATTAATGAGAATAACTTCTGAGGGTGCAAATGAGTTTGACCCCTGTAATTCCAATTTTGTACAATTTTTTATTTTTATTTTTTTCAGATCCTCTGCATTCAATAGGGTGCAATTGTAATTGTAGCTGCCAATTCATTGTAAATGCAATAATATAGCTACAAGGATTTCTACCACACAAATGCCTTTTAACTTCATTAAATAGTTATATCTAGTGTGGATTCTTACTTACAAAAATAATGATAATTGATCAAGCTTAAATTTGAATATAAATTTTAGATTCAACAACAACATATGGGATTTTCCCTTCAACAATTGTGCATCAATGCATTTTTATTTATTTATTTACTAACAGGTGATTCTAAATTCGATTGTCATCATCGTCACTTTAACTAGCACTATCATTTCCAACCATTTGGCTTTTACCTTGTTTTCCATGTTCGCCATGATTGTGTCAAGGATAAGGTATGGGGTTGGAAAAAAAATTTCCTTTAAGGTGCCGTTTGTTACAAGGATTTTGTTAGGATTCCAGGAAACTGAAAGTAATAATCTTATTTATTCACGTTTGGTATAAGTTTTTTAAAAAAATTCTAGGAATCCAAATTTCCCAGGATTTTATTTAGTGTGTAATTTTTTTTTGAAAAAAATAATCCAGAAATACCATTTAGAAGGTGGTATTTTATGATTTCTATGACAAGGAAAATTTTAATACAACTAAACATAGTATCAAGAAAATTAACTTAATAATCCCGGGAATATGTTAGTCTACCAAACAACTTTTTGGTAACATTTTCATAAAATTCATTTTTTCATCATATTCTTGGAAATCGTGATTCTCAGATAAAAAAAAAAATTCCACTACTAAACGCTTATGTAGAAAGTTTTTAGATCCATTTGGCTCAGTCTTGATCTTTATGGTCATACATAGCGCGGACCCTTAAACTTGATTATCATGATTGAAATGACTTGGATGAATTTTGTGCGACTCCTAGAATGTCCTTCAAGCTAGCAAATAAGATTATTCCTGTAGCTTTCTCGAGTTTAAAGTTGGAACCTTCTTTAATTTTATTTTATTTTTGGCTCATTGGCCTGCTACTTGTTTTGGAGTAAAGATGACTTTATCAATAATATTATTAAGGGGTTTATACTTATGTAACATAAGATATGAGAATTTTTGTAACACACATATATTCAGATGGGTCCCAATGGAAAAAAGTAAATAAAAAAATTAAAAATATTAGCATGCAAAACGATGTGAGTGTAGCTTGAGAATGCTCTTATGTTGCATAAGAAGTATAAACCCCTATTATTAATTATCGACTCAGTCAGAGTACTGAATCAATGAGTCATCAATTGAATCGCTTAAATTAAATCAATACAAAAATATATAATATATAAAGGCTCTTTGACCCATTGGGATTTTAATTTATCAATCTGGTATCTGATTCACAGTATTTACCAATGGAGGTCATTTAGTGACGCGAGGGGACCTGGCGTCACTGAGTGCCGCGACCCTCTCCCCGCATCACTCACACATTTTTTTTTCACTTGAGTGATGCCCCCCTCCCCTGGGGCACTCATAGGATTGTGCCAAGTGGCACAATCTCTTTAATCTTATTACCCAAAAATTTCGGAAGGCCATAACTTTTGACTTGGGTATCCAAATCAAATGATTTTTTTTTATTTCACATAACTTTTCGAGATCTACGCAATGACACCTCATTTGACATATTTTATCTTCCATTGACGTAGTTCAAATTTGCAACAATAGTTACACTTTTTTACAAATTCGAACTATGTTTGTGAGAGATAAAATACGTCAATTGAGGTGTCGTTGCGCAAATCTCAAAAAGTTATGTGAAATAAAAAAAATCATCTGATTTGGATACACGAGTCAAAAGCTATGACTTTTTGAAGTTTTACGGTAACGGGACTAACGAGATCGTGCCACTTGGCACAATCTTATGAGTGCCCCAAGGGAGGGATGACGTTACTCAATTGAAAAATAAATAAATAAATAAATGTGTGAGTGACGCGGGGGGAGGGTCGCGGCACTCAGTGCAGCTGGGTTCACCTCGCGTCATTCAATGACTCTCATTGATAAATATCGTGAATCAAATACTAAATTAGAAAATTAAAGGGATAAAAACTCCAAATAGGTGAAATAGCCAATATATAAATAAAAGTAATATGACAACCAAAATGATTTGTCTTAGTAATTAACATTTCACTCCCCTTCCCTTAGTGCCAAGTTTGAATCACTTTTATGTGATGGAATATTTTGCCATAATTTTCAAAATTGACTCAACCAGAAAATTGGTACCGATTAACACCGATTTATGACCGGTTTATCGGTTCTTGATCGGGTTGGTTCAGTCAATTAACTAGATGCATAACCAGTTGTTTGGCTAAACCAAACTGGTTAGTGATTTGATTCTTGGTTCAACCGATCCGATAGACTAGATCAAACCGGTTTTAATAACATTGTTTATGAAAACCTATGGTCACGTGTTAGAATGATTATTTATGAAAACACATACAGGAATTTGTTACGAAACAAATGGGTGAGTTAAAAATACCAAAACTAGAACAATTTTAGGGCGAATGATGCATCGCTAATTAGAAAAATTAGAACAATTGGTACCAAAAAAAATTAGAATAATTTTTAAAAATACAAAAAATTCTTTAATTGAACATATTAATTGCCATTTTCTACATCCTAAAGGAATTTTTTTAAAGATTTGCATATGCTTGAAGTCGTGTAAACGAAATGGGTTAGCCCATGCTATTAGGCCTTAGACCATGTAGGTTAATGCTTAAAAGTTTATAGGGCCAAAATACTTTAACGGGTGTTAGGTAAAGGAATTTTTTTGTATTATTATGATTTTTAGGAATATGATGAGAAAATAAATTTTTCATAAATATTACTAAAAAACTGTTTAGTAGGTCAAAATATTTTTAAAAATATTGGTTCAAATTTTTTGATTCTATATTTAGTTGATTGTTAATTATTCATGAAATTATGAGCTAATTTTACATAAACTAACCTTCCATAAATGACTACAATATCTAATACTATATTCCAAAATGTCTAGTTGTAGTCAAGTTTTATGCCCCCCTTTCTCATTACCATACCACTATTTTCTGTCATCTAGTATTGATTTTATTTGTAGGTGAAGGCGGCGAAAATTAATTGTAATAGGTGGCGAAAACAGAACTCCGTTTGGTAATTTAAATATGAGTTTTATAATTCTCATTTAATATGAGAATTCAAATTTTCCTACACACCATTCCATTTTCGTGCTGATATGGATCTTATATATAATTTTTTCTAACATCTGGGTCTCACATACTTTTTATCTCTATAATATAACATGAGAATTGAATTCTCATTTAACATGAGAAAATCAAATCCCTTTAAATATTCTGATGATTGTAGCAAGCAACATTTCATTATAAAACCGCCAATTGCATTAACTCCTTAAACTTCAGAAGAATCACCAGGCCAGTAATAAAAGACTGGTGCGCTTATGTGGAATCTGTGAAAGGAATAAAAAAAGCATGAAAAAAAATTAGAATTTAATGAATGAGGAAAACTTGATCCTTTCTTCGTCGGACATGAAAGAAAGAATATAATAAGATTCATTAATGTTGATGTAAAAAATACCGATATATGCAGAAAGAAAAATATCTCAACGAAAAAGCATTGCTATAAAGAAAATTAATTAAATTTGAGGTTACCAATTTGTGTTCTAACAAGAGAGGATATTTAAATCATGAAAATATTAAAATAGGATTATTTATGTCTTATAAATTATATAAAAAAAATTCACTAGATGGAGTCCAAGAATATCATCCCTTGTGTTTCATGAGATTTTTATTCACAATTTTAATTTTTAAGAATCTCACTTTTTAGAAAAATTTTAAGAATCGTTATACCAAACATGAGTAACTAGAATTTCTAATGTCAGTTCTCTGAAAATTTAAAATTTATTCATCTGTCAAACGGCTCCTAAATAACAAAAATCCACACGCGCTTAAGGCCCCTCTATATTTGGAGCATGGAGCCAACCAACGGCCCTTCCAAATTTTTAAATTTTTATTTATAAAAACAAAAAAAATAAATAAGCTACTATTTTTTTAAACTGTAGTTTATTATATTTTGTCCTTGCACAAATTGATATAGAAAGTAATTTTGAATATATTTTATGGAATTTAATATATTATATCTTGATTTATTAGTTTTCATCTTAAAATAATAGTGTAAAATTATATAATATAAACTATTCCTAAATAAAATTATCAGTCACAATTAATCAAATGCTGAATTATTATTATTAAATTTTACTTAAATTATAGATAGAAAAATGCGTAGAATTTTACGTTTATTATAATAAAAGTTAGTAATTCAATTGCAAAGATAGTAACTAATACTTTTAAAAAAAATATTAATGATATATTAAAATCTCTAGCATCATACATCAAGTCTATATATATATATATATATATATATATATATATATATATACTGTTTGATATATGAATATTTTAATTTTTTTATTGTCAATCCTGTTAAAATTGTTGACTTTTATCGACAATGTTTATTTTCACCGCAAAGAATCAGTGGTGGATTTTAATTAAAAATCTTATGGTGACTATATAATATTATTTATAATTTTTAAGTATATTATTTGCGTTTCTATAACACATTTTTTAAATAGATATTAAATAAATAAAACAATATCATAGATATGGAGGAATTTGAATTTAGGACAAAAACGATACTACTAAAGTAAATAAATCAAATTAGAGTAAGTTTTGAAAATATGCTCTTTAATGTGCATAAGGAAAACTTTGTTGTGTTTTCTTTTTATCAACGTCTTAACAAAGCAAAGTGATGAGTCCAACAAATATTAGGCTGGATATGATCAAATATTTGAAAGATGTTGATGAAGATAATGAGAGATGATAAATTAGCTTGTCAAGATTGTTGGGTATGGCTCATACATGCTGATGAGGACTCTAGTTGTCGGGGTTAGCAGTTTGAGCTTGGGCCCATGAATAGCTGCTGTTAGGGTTTTCTAATCCTATTTATATTTTCCTTGTAACAAGTGGCGGTAAGGTGAATATAGTACAGACAAGCTGGACGTAGCCTAAATTGGGTGAACCAGGGTAAATCTCTGTGTCTATTCTCTCTCTCTCTTCTCTTTTCGTTTGCGATTTGTGTGATTGTCGATTTCCAACAAAGATGTTTGGATGTTTGGCGAGATGATTGATTAGCACTTTTCATTTCTGGGCAGTTTGTGAGTGAGTGGGGGTACCTGCAAGTCACTATGATGCTCAACTCAGTTCAGTATTCAAGGAAGTTCAAGTATCCAAAGAGGGATATCATACCTGCGCTAAAGGCCTCTGTATTTATAGTATTGAGCACATTGTTTCATATCGCCTTTTGTAATATCCCAAGGGCTGGCAAAGGCACAGAGTGATTGCCAATGCAAAAGTAGCACGAACATTGAGCGGCTTATGCCAAATAACTGAGAGGTACATGAATGAATCAAATCAACACCCGAGAGAGAGGGATTCCAGAGACTGTGCTGGTGTGGTACGGTACAATTGGGGATATCTTATAAGAATTAATTGATACTACCTATACTAACAAGATGCATATACTTTTCGGTAGCCTAGAAAAGAAGAACTCCATGGTTAAGCATGTTTGACTTGGAGTAATTCTGAGATGGGTGACCTTATAAGAAGTTTTCCTAGGAAGTGTGTGGGTGAAGACAAAGTACGCTGAAAAGTCTCATGTTAATTTGTGAGGACAATCATTGATCCTTGCAAGTTACATGGTGTTACACCTTTGATAGGACGATGTTTACTTTTATTGGTGGAGAGGAGTGGCCTCTCAAGCTATTCCTTGATGGGCAAGCTTATTCAGTATACTTGGTGAAAAGCAGGAGTTGCCTTACATTTATTAGGTTCACGTGGTGACCAACTTGTCTGAGCTGCTGATATCGACAATGATAATTCCTTTTAGGTTAAGTCACTTTGACTTGCTAGTCAAGTATGGGTTACCTTTGTGGTCAAAATCATAGGGGTCTCTGGACCTTTATGGGATTGGGCCTCTATCTCGCATGTAGTAGGTCTAGATCACAAAGTGAATCCCATTCCATTTATAAAAGGTGAGAGATAATAAATTATTCATATTTTTGTTTATAAAAAAATATAAGTGATATATTAAAATCTATAATAATGATAACATAAGTTCATAACATAATTTCTACATATATAAATTATATATAGGATATATATTTATTATTATTATTATTTATAATTTTTAAATATTTATATTTTATAAATTACTTTTTAATTTATTCTTTAGTATGTATATTTTAAGATAAAATAATTTTAGTTCGTGGGGCCCACTTATTCATGGGGCTTTGTGAGTTAAGGATAAAAAAAAAGCCCCACCCGCAAAATAAATTTTATTAAGTACGGTCAAACATAAAGCTTTTGGAGCTGACCATGAAACTAGGGGCATTTTTACAGCTCTATCTAGAAATACTGAATGTGTTTTATATGAACAGAGACGATTCCATAACATAAACCAATCCATATATTAATACAGTTTCACTATACCGCTTTCCTTTATCTATTTCTTTTGCTTCCATTCTGTTTTTGCAGTAGTTTTGTTTTGGCCTTATCATTTCAAATTATGTAAATAAAACTGGGCTTATAAAAGTATGGTCTTAATTGATTATGGGTTTTATTACTCTTCTTTCACATAAGATAGTTATCTTACGTTATAGAGAGAAAATGAGTGTGTCCTACTATTACAAAAAAAAAAGTGAGGTGCGAATGTCAAAATAAGATAACATGAGAGAAGTTATCTTATGTAAAAGAAGAATATTATTTTCCTCTAATTACTTGGATAACGACCTTAGAACTAGTTGGTCGTCACACCAAAAATAGTGAGTGGGCTTTTCTGTTATATGCTTTATTGTTCTTTCCCTTCTGTTTTTCAGTTTTGTTTTTTTTAAACATGAATCGAATGAAAGTCTAGTAATTATGTGTAAAAGATTTTTTCTCTTAGGGTTTTGTATTGAAAAAGATATGAAAGTAAGCGAGATATTTTTTTTTTAATTTTTAAAAATGTTAATGACCATGAAATAATGAATAATATCTTTAAAAATTGTTGGATCAAAAAACAGCATTGACGCTATCTGTAATAATTAATAAAGAAATGCATTACCAAAACCATCAAACAAATTCAACCATGCCTTCTTTCCAAATATCTCAAAGGGTGACATTTCTTTATATCCCATAGCATTATCCTATCCTTTCTTTAAACACTTGTCAGAACGTTATTATATTTTAACAATAAAGAATATATAAAAGGAATATTATTAAGGATCAAATCTATGACTACACCCTTTTCAAATACCTCAAAGCGTGACATGTCTTTGCATTCCATAGCATTATCTTATCCTTTCTTCAAACATTTGCAAACTTCTTAATATGTCTTGATGCTATTATATCGTCTAGAATAGGCAAAGAGATCACCAATCAACATCGTTTCAATTACTCCAATACCATGAATAACATGAATAGTTCATTTATTATTTATTGATTAAAATAAATACTTTAATCAGCCAGAGTTATTTAAAGAATTTCAATCCTTATTTTTTAAATTTAATTTGAAGAATCATAATTGTGTTGTTACCGTATGGGGCTAAATCAGCTTAGCAAACCACCATGAAATTTAACCCTTGTACAAAATGAAAAGCCAGAGTTACCTTGCGTGTGTATTTAATTAAAATCATTGAAAATTCGAAAAGAAAAAAAAAACAATATACATGATTGATAGAACATGCATATACTGATCACAGGCAGAAAGGACACAAAAAGCTACAGAATCTGTGTTTTTTCTATTAATAGAAACGACATGTGGTTATTTTAATATTATCAAAGCAAAAGATTGTCGATTCAGTATAATCATATAGGCAAATCATTTCTTGTATTGCAAGAGAATTTTTTTTTTAGCAATCAATTATAATTATGTTTTATCGACAAGATATAGTTGTAATTTAAAAAAAAAATTCTCTTTCCTTAAAAGACTGTCGGTTGACGTGACATAGAGAGAAAAAATAATTTTAATATTACAATTATATCTTAACAGTAAAACATAGATGTAATTAGTGACATATAGGAAAAATTTTGTAGCCACTTAAGAAGTTGGGGAGTAATCATACATAGCTTGTGCTTTTTTTTTTTTTTTCTAAGTTCGATACAATAATAAAGGTTACAAACTTTTTGCTAAATATAAGCAATGAATTAAAGTAATAGCAACCGTTGGCCTCCTCAAAATTTTGCAGGCCATTAGGAACCCAAAAATGACAATCCAAAACAAGCACGAAACGACCCTTTATATAAATCCGTTCAACAATGAACGAACATAGCGTCCCTTTAGCCTTTCTTAGCCTTCTTAGCGTTCTTTCTCTCATTGACGTAGAGAGAGGACGATCGAGAAAAGAAACTTGGTTTATTCTTCCACTCAATTTTTATTCAACATGGGAAACTGTGGTAGCAACCCCAAGACCAATGAGGGTCCAGAACCAGTGCCAGTGCCTGCGCCTGCGCCTGAGACTGTGACCGAGGAAGTTAAGGTTGAAGCAAATGTTGAGACCAAAACCGAGGAACCTGATAACAAGTCCCTAGGCACCTTGCTCAATGAGGTACTTACTAGCTTTATTCTTTCACATTAGACTCTACATTTTTATTATCCTTACATAATTCTCTCTCTATTTCAAATCAATGTGATTTTTAAAAGTTTTAGTTTGTTTATTATTTTATAAAGGGAAATACTACTCTCATTTTACATGAGGTAGTTATCTCCTTTTCTGTCACTTCGAAAATCGTGCCCTTTTTTTTTTTTGCTTTTAAATAACGGGCCCTACTTGAATTCTCTCTGTAACATGAGAGTACATGAGAGTAATATTACCCTTTTATAAAACTAAAAAGACATTAATAATTTTCCTTTCTTTCAATTTTATGACTTTTATCAATGTTTCTTAATTTTGTTAGACTCTATGTAAAACGACAATTACTATATCCTTTCAACATAATTATTATGAGCTTTAATTTGTTTCAAATTACTTGTCAGTTTAAAAATTAAAGAAAATGTTAATAATTCTTTTAATTTATTCTTATCTCTTGATAATTTTATTAAGTAGAAAGAAGTAAAACATTAATATAGGGAAAATATAATAATCAAAATCAAATGCATTTATATTTTTTAAATTAAGGATATTTAATAACTTTCTTAATTTTTGAGTAAATTATAAGCAACAATTACTCTTTCCTTTTTAAAATAATTATTACTTCAATTAGGAGTTTTAATTTATTTTAAATTGTTTATCATTTTAAAAAATAAAAAAACTTATTTACTTTTTTTCTTGATATTTTTACATAACATAATGGAGTGGAAGGATAATGTAATAAAATAGATTTATAAATTTTAAAAAGTTAAAAGATATTTAATAACTTTCTTAATCTTTATGCAAAAATTTTGGACACAATTTGAAGGAGTATTTTGAAAAGGAACAAGTACGGGTCATATAAATATTTCTCAAATTTAAAAGGCAAAAACATTGAATCAATGGTGAAGATGAACGGGACTTTGCTATATCCAATTACAATTTAGTCATGAACCCTTTTAATTTCAATTTTAATAATTTAAAAGGATCATATACGGTCCTTCCAAGTTGACATGAGAAGGTAGCATATCGTCTCCTCGCACTGTTTCTCATAATAATTATCACTATTTGTATTGGCAGAATGTAGAGGGGACACCGAAGACAGAGGAAGTAAAGGCTGAGGCTGAGGAAACAAAGGCTGAACCCAAGAAAGAAGAGGTAAAGGTTGAAGAAGAGAAGCCCAAAACAGAAGAGCCAAAGATTGAGGCCTAAACCTAAGAACGGCCGAATGCCCGAATGTTTTACCAGAGAGAGTTGTGATACTTTCAATTATACAAATTTGTTGCTTTTCTATTTAGTGCTCCAAGAAACTTGATTAGATCTCTTATGCAATTTGACTATCTGGGTTTTGGATTGTTGATTTAATTATGCATAAGTTTTGAAAAAAAGTATTTCTATATGATATAATTTATTTTTGAGTTTTTTTTTTGATTCGTTTTTTCTGCAATTACTGCATATAAATTATCTGCAGTAATTCTAATACGACGTCGTTTTGATATGTCAGGGTTATAATAGTCTTTATATTTATAATTTTTTATGATTTCAATACTAAAACGACGTCATTTTGGAAATAAATGCAGATAACTCATCTGCATTAACTGCAGAAACATTTTTTTACTTTTTTTGTTTATGTATTAAAACGGTTTTTATATTTTTTTTATTTTTAGAAAAGCTTATCCATTTGTTATAAAAAAATTTAGGCATATTTTTCAAGGATTCATTTTTTCTACCGTCAATGTAGATAACTTATCTACGGTGAGTCCAAAACGACGTCGTTTTGAAGCGGAAATTAAGGTATTTTTATAATTATAATTTATTTCAAGGTTATAATAGTCTTTTCCATTATAATTTTTTAATTTTTCAACCCAAAACGACGTCGTTTTGGGAGCGAATGTAGATAACTTATCTACATTTACTTTAGAAACATTAAAGCCATTTTTTAATTTAAGAATTATACTTTTTCTTAAAAAAGCTTTAACAGATGGCTTTGGATATCTCTTTTTAGTTGTTTGGCTAATGGGTATTTTTCCTCGACACAGCAATAGCATTGTCATATATTGATGTGTTTGTGAAACTTTGATGGCCAGAGTTTAGAAGCCACTGATATCCCTCTATTAAGAAACATTACCAAATAACGGGGCATTATTGTTTGTTTTCAAACTCTTAAGATCTTTATTATCGCTCACAAACATTAATTTTTCTCTAATTCACAACATAAATATAGTTATTCCATAGCATTAGTAATTTGTTTTATTAAAAAAGAGAGAGGCTATTTATCATTTTCCATGAAGATGAGGAAAGGGAAAAAGTGGCACGTAATTACTTATTAATTAGCTCAAAATGTGAAGTAAGAGCAACATAAAAAATAAAGGCGGGAATGAATTTAGAAAGACAAAGGAATATGCACCCATTCTTAGTGGGGTTAGATATGTATTCGATTCCCGCTGAATGCATTCTTGGGGAGGGGCTGAATCTTTAGCCATCACTGTTCCTCCGCACTTCGGATTAGTCCATAGCCGGCTCAAAGAGTCGAAGCTCGTGAGGATACCGGAAGGAGCCAACTCGTCTCAAAGAGATAATTAGGGTTGGGTAACTCCAAAAAAAAAAAAAAGAATATGCACCCATTGTTATTGAAGAGGAAAATAAGATCTTTATATTAAAAGGAAAAAAAAAAAGAACTATCTTGCTGTTAAAAAAAAGGCCTTACGTCAATTGTGTTGTTTACTTGTATGTAATCAAATTAATAAAAATTCTTTCTTTTTTTATTACATATATAAATGGAAAAACTTAATAATATATAAAAGGAAAAAATATTTCTGCAGTTACTGCAGATAAGTTATCTGCATTTATTTCCAAAACAACATCATTTTGGTATTGATATCTTGAAAAATTATAAATATAAAGACTATTATAATCCTGAAATAAATTAAAATTATAAAAATACCATGATTTTCGCCCCAAAACGACGTCGTATTGGGCTTACTGCAGAAAAAGTGAACCCTATATAAAATCGTAAATGAAAGCACAAACCAAGAATAAAATATGTATGTATAAAAAGAAAAAAAAAGAGGGAAGAGATCTTACGGTAAGTTTATAAAAAAAGATAATGATACTTATACAATAAGGTTACAAAAAAAGTACCCAATGGGTGCAACTCAGTTGGTAACTTGGCGCTGAGTTAGTGGGGTTGGATATGTGTTCGATTCCTGCTGAATGCGTTCTTGGGGAGGGGGCTGAACCTTTAGCCATCACTGTTCCCCCGCACTCCGGATTAGTCTCATAGCCGGCTCAAAGAGTCGAAGCTCGTGGGGATACCGGAGGGAGCCAACTCGTCTCAAAGAGATAATTAGGGTTGGGTAACTCCAAAAAAAAGGTTACAAAAAAAGTTAGGTCACTACTAGAAAATGTCTTTTTTTCGACGTTAAAATTCCGTCGAAAATGATGTTTTCGACGGAAATGAAGTCGTCGAAAATATCTTCGTGGGTAACAATTTTTTTTACGGAATTACAGATTCCGTCGAAAAATTTCGACGGAAATTTCGACGAAATAATTTCTGTTTAAAGTTTCGACGGAAAAATAATTCTGTCGAAAACTTTTGACGTAAAATGAACGAAATTTCGTCAAAAAATCTTGTCTCAATTTTCGACGAAAAACAAATTCCGTCGAAATTTTTCGACGGAAAATGAATGAAATTCCGTCGAAAAATCTTGTAATGATCTTCGACGAAAAACAAATACCGTCGAAAATTTCCTACGAAAAATTAATGAAATTCCGTCGAAAAATCTTGTAATGACTTTCGACGGAAAACTAATTCCGTCAAAAATTTTCGACGGAAATAAATGAAATTCCATCAAAAAATCTTGTAATGACTTTTGACGAAAAACAAATTCCGTCGGAATTTTTCAACGGAAATGAATGAAATTCCGTCGAAAATTCTTGTAATGATTTTCGACAGAAAACTAATTCCGTCGAAAATTTTCGACAGAAAATGAATATAATTCCATCGAAAAATCTTGTCTCAATTTTCGACGAAATTGCTTTTTCATTTGTTTCTCTACAAAATTAATACCAATTTACGTTTCACACCTGATAAACAAATATAATGAAAATAACATATGAAAATTATTTGATGTTACTATAATTTATGTGTACAAAAGTCTCTGCCATAAACAAATCAAAAGAGACATATATATAAATGTCCAAGACATATACATAAACAAAAGTCCCTGTCATATACTAATCCAAAGAGTCCTATATGAATAAATGTCCAAGACATACTAATCAAAAGAGACATACATATACAAAAGTCTCTATCATATACTAATCAAAAAAGTGATATATATATATAAATGTCCAAGACATATGCTAATCAAAAGGGACATACATATACAAAAGTCCCTGTCATATACAAATAAAAACAGTCCTACATCTATAAATGTCCAAGACATATACTAATGAAAAGGGACATACATATACAAAAGTCTCTGTCATATACTAATCAAAAGTGTCATATATCTATAAATGTGCAAGACATATGCTAATCAAAAAGGACATACATATACAAAAGTCCCTATCATATACTAATCAAAAGAGTCTATGTACAATAGTCTATGTCATATACATCCAACAAAGATACAAAAGTCATGCTGATGGATGACCTACATGATCATAGTCATCACCTACGACCTGAGACGGGGGCTGAGTCTCGTCGTCATCCTCAGTATCTAATAATTCCACAGGAAGCCTTTGCAAAAGCTTCTCCATTTTGTCCATTCGCCTTTGCATCATAACCATGAGACTATCCTGTTGCTGAGCCTTTTTCTCCTGCTATGCAGCCTTCTCTTGTTGTTGTACAACCCTCTCCTCTTGCTGTGCAGCCCTCTCCTCTTGTTGTGCAGCCCTCTCCTCTTGCTGTGCAACTGTACCCTGCAACTGCATAATCAATGTGTGCATCCTGTCATGCTCTTGCTGGGACACTCCAAGTGGTAGCCTATTGGAGAGTCGAGATTTCTTATATGCTCCTCCCAGTGTACCTAAACCGTATAACCGTCCTTTAAGGTTAACCCCACCAGATGCCTGCATGATCAAATCATTATCCGAGGCAACACTGCTAGCATCCTCTCCTAGAATGACTTGACTGTCTCTCTCTTCCCTAAGTCTCGTAAAGCCATCCTAAAATTTACATAGAAAGTATTCATGTGTTAAAGTCAGGTGCACTAAAACAAATCAATTTCTTTTGTAAAGTAAACATTTGGTGTAACAATAGATATTACTCACAGCTGTTGCCTTTGCCTTGTCATTGCACCACTTGCCACGATCATCTTTAGATGTGTGTGTATGCTTGAACACAGCCCAACCCACGGCAGACGGATCTGTGACCCCATCTTCTTGCTGCGTATATATGTACATAAACAATCAGAACATAATACGCTAAGTATAAAAAATGGCTTACCATTTTATGAATCTACATGCATATGAAAAATTGTAAGTATTCTTACCAACCGCCTTGCATGCTCATGAAATGGAATTGAACCCTCCAGAATGTGTAGGTCCGTCAAATTTGGACCTGTTCCTCTTATTTGATTCAGCCATTTTCTTCCATTTTTCATTAGACCAGTGAACCTTCAAACCATCAAGAACATCTTGTCTCACCCAAGACATATCGCCCTTTCCTTTTCTTATCAAATTCAAGTGATTTCTGATTATGTCATTGGCTTTGGTCTTGTATGCTTTCTGAAAAAGATATTCGTCATCCAGTAAGTATTTATATTATTCCTACAATGAAGAAACAATACAATTTAGAAAAAAGTTCAACATTAGCTTCAAAAACGTTGAATCATACATAAATATTACACAAGTCAAATTTGAAGGGCAACATTACCATCAATGAGTTAAACCAGTTCTCCTTGACATTGGTTGGAACTGCCTTATATGTAGGGTATGGACCGTCATAGTTGCGCTTGATTATACCCCATATTTTGCGCACTACATCCCATGGTTCAAAGCTGAAATAGATTGTAATTTGATTATATTCATCAATGCATTTAAATTATTGTCAACACTTATATGAAGATGTATTGAAAAAATATCACCACTACCATTAACGTTTCTTGTACATACTTGCTCCCATCAATGGTCGGTCGTACCCATATACGATTGTCCACAAGATCTTTCTCCCCCCATCGTGGAACAAGATCCTTCATTACAGGCGG